CCCCGCGCGGCAGCAGCAGCAGCAGCAGCAGCACCTGCAGCAGCAGCGACTGCGCCGCTGCACTGCCAGCTCGGGTCCGCCCCGTAAAAAGTGTTCGCAGCTGTCTGCAGCGCTCTAGTGAGCGGAGACACAAGAAAGGCGTCAACGCAGAAAGGCCTGAGGAGCTTCGCGGGGCCGCGCTGCTGCTGCTGCTGCTGCTGCTGCTCCAGCTGCCGCACTGCTGCCAGCAGCCGGCCCAGCTGCGCCCCTGCGTCTGTACACTGCAGCTCTCCTGCTGCTGACAGAGGCACATCGCATTCGCCCCAGTCTCGTCTCAGCATATCTGAGACACAAACGCAGCAGCAGCAGAAGCGAAATGGCCAAACATGCTGCAGCAGCAGCAGCAGCAGCAGCAACAGGTCAGCGTCACGCCAACTGCGCACCAGCAGCAGCAACAACAGCAGCGACAGTTTCGCACCAAGTCAACCACCCGGCAGCAGCAGCAAGTGCAGCAGCAACACAGCCACGTCGTATCCGCAAAACAGCAGCAGCAACAGCAGCAGCAGCAGCAGCACCTCTAAACCTGAGCTTGGTGAAGGCCTCTCTGCGCCAAACGTTGAATTTGCTTTCGCCGTGTCTCATGGCGAAGATGAGTTTCGTTTTGGATTTGTTTTGCTGCTGCCGGTGGAGGTTCCAGCGGTGCAGCTTTTGGGCGAGAGCAGCAACTGCTGCCAGGTCTGCTGCAGCAGCATCTTTCTTAAACCAACTAAAAAGCGACCCCAGAAGAGATCTGCTGCTGCTGCTGCTGCTGCGGCCTCTCCCAGCGTCTCTGGACTGTACATACACCTGAACAGGCGCTGCCGCCTCCCGCGCCGCCCGGGGCTTCATTTCCAAAAGCGCCTCCTCCTCCCCCCCCTGCTGCTGCTGCTGCTGCTGCTGCTGCTGCGGGGGGGCGTCGGCGGCCGCGGGGGAAAAGGCTGGAGGGCTGCCGCCCTTCATCTGCTCATCTCGAGGAAGTGCAGCAGCAAGTGGGGGCTCTTTGGAAGCAGCTGCTGCAGCTGCTGCAGCAAGAGAGCCATACGCCTGCTGCTGCGCTGCTAAGGAGGCCTCGCTGGGGCCCCAGCCCCCCGAGCCCAGCAGGTGCAGCGGGGCCCCCCGGAAGGCAGCAGCAGCGGCGCTGCTGAAGGCCTGCGAGCTGCCGATGCAGCAGCAAAAGACTGCGAAATAAAACACGCCGAAGGCAGTCCCGAAACGCGGGAAAGCTCGGGCGAAGTGGAAGGCGAAGTGCGCGGTGCGGGGCCTCCCAGCTCGTCTCTGCTGCTGCAACAAAAGGGGAACGCTGAAGAAGCTCACGCCCTTCATTCTAAGCCAAAACATCAAAAAAGTCTTCAGGAACGTCGCTACTCACCGACGCCCTCATGTCCAGCCAGAACGGCGAAGTTGAAATGCAAAAGTTGAACGGGCTGTGCAGAAAAAACCTGCAACGAACGATTCCAGCTTCCCCTTCAGGCAGCCTCACTCGCCCCACAGGGCACTGGAAATAATTCTCGAAACCTTTAAAAAGAAAGCTGCAAACGAAAAAAAAACATTTCTGAAACTCCTCTCAACGCTCGCAGCGTCTCGATGATCGCAGAGCTGCGCGTACACCCCAAAGCACTTCCGCATCGGCGAACGCCCCAGCCAGTTCCCTCACTTTCTCCACAATCTGCGGGAATTTCTCTTCAAAATAAAACCAATTTCCTTAAATGCCTTTCATTATCTGTTCAGGTTCCCCATTTCGCCTCCAAAGCCCCCGCTTCCCCGCAGCCACCGGCTGTGAAGGCTGCGGCTGCGCCTGCACAGCACAACATCCCGCAGCTGCAGCAGCAGCGCTCCGGCGAGCTGCTGCTAAGTCGAAATCCCAGCACTTCTCAACAATAAAACTATTATTCAAACTCCACAAAGCTTCAGAAGCAAAAGAGGAGTTCCTCATGAGGCAGCAGCAGGGCCAACCAGCAGCAGCAAAGGGGGGCCCCCAGCTCCCGAAGAAGCAACTCTTAGCCTCCGGCCCGAAGCCCCGCGCCTAAACGAGCAGCAGCAGCACTGACACCGTGCTGCTGCTGCTGCTGCGGTGGCTGGAGCTGCCATTGCCGCTGCTGCTGCTGCGGTGGCTGGAGCTGCCATTGCTGCTGCTGCGGCTGCGGTGGCTGGAGCTGCCATTGCTGCTGCTGCTGCTGCTACTCTTGCTGCTGCTGCTGCAACTCCTGCTGTTGCTGCTGCTGCTGTCCCGGCCGCCGTTGCTGCTGCTGACGTATTTAGAAAAATTGAAAGCTCGAGGCAGCGCCAGCGCAGCAGTAGCAGCCCCGGCTGCTGCTGCTGCTGCTGATGGGGGCGCTGCAGCAGGGACCACAGCAGCTGCGGCAGCTGCAGCAGAACCGCAAAAGGCGCTGCTCCCGTTGCTGCTGCTCTGCAGAGCTGCTGCTGCAGTTCTGCAGAGCTGCAGCTGCTGCCAGCTGCGCTTTCAGGCCCTTGCTGCACTGAGAATTTGGTAAATTAAAACATTTAGCAGCAAAAATGAAGAGAGTCCAAACAGAGACGCAGCAGCAAAACGCCGGACTCTGGGGTGTACGTACACCCCAGGAGCGGCAGAGCGGCCGCGGCAGCGCAAGCGCTGCATGCAAAGAAAGCATTTAAAAGTTAGCAAAGCAAAACAATACAACTATTCAGGCATTTGGTCTCCAGCTAGCTAGCTGGCTGGCTAGCTAGCTAGCTGGCTAGCCAGCTAGCTAGCCAGCCAGCTAGCCAGCAAGCTAGCTAGCCAGGGGCAGTCCAGAAGGCTGGCTGTTGACCGCTGCAATAGTTTTAGCTAGCTACAGCTAGCTGCAGCTAGCCATTCCTATCTGGAGCTAGCTCCTCTGCTGCTGCTGCTGCTGCTGCTGCTTGTCGCTGCCGCGGCTACAGCTCTTGCTGCTCCTCACTACTGCTGCAGCAGTTCCTGCTGCTGCGGCAGTTTCTGCTGCTGCTGCAGTTTCCGCTACAGCAGCAGTTTCTGCTGCTGCAGCAACACTGGGCTTGTTTTAACAGCAGCAGCAGCAGCAACCTAGCTGTTGCAGCCGGCATAAAAGGCCCTCATATGTACACGAGAAAGCAGCAGCCAGCAACCGGCAGCTGCTGAAGGGCAGCAGCAGCAGCAGCAGCAGCAGCAGCAGCAGCAGCAATATCCTTAAGAATCCCACGGCCCTCAGCTATTTCGCAGGTTTTGGCTGGGAGTTGAGTTCACATGATTCGCAATGATATGCTTAGTAATAAATATAAATAAATAGATATGCAATTATATATAATAATATATAATATATATAATATATATATATATAATATATATATTATATATATTATATCTATATTTACATATATGTTATATATGAAGCTTACAGGTGTGCTGACCCCTGTATAAGACATACAATATATGGGGTGTATGTACACCTGCAACATGTGGCACATGCAAATATGAATTTTGCAACGGCATTTAAGAAATGGTGCAAATATATACTTTCGAGGGACCATAATCTTAAAATAAACACAGATAGAATAATTTATTCCTCAATTTCCTGCGCATTTTGCCAACTGGCTGCATGCGTTTGCATGCATGCGCATGCAACAGACCACAGGTGACCACTGGTCACCCGCCAACTCTAGCGGAAGTAACCAGCAGAGGCCGGGTGAAGAGCACTTGGCAATAAATGAATTTCCGGAGACCCTTCGGCCTCCAAAGTTGCAGAAGAAATAAAAAAATCTGAAGAGCCTTTTGACTGCTCCGAGCCCTGCTCCGGGGTGTCTAGGGTGTACGTACACCGCAGCACACAGCGCAGGAAGAGTTGCATCGGCGGTTTATTTCACTTTATTTTGTTTTACTTATTTATTTAATTAGTTTAATTTTATTTTATTTTATTTTTGAATTTTTAGATGCCTTGAATGCTTTAAAAGTACATTTAATGTTTCACAAGTGTTTATCACTCTGCGCATGTCGCATGCATGCTTAGCAGGGGTTTAGGGTTTGGCGTTCAGGGTTTAGGGTTTCGGTCTGAGGGTTTAGGGTTTCATTTTGAGGGTTTAGGGTTTGGGCTTGAGGGTTCAGGGAATTAAAAAAAGATGAAAAGAGACAAAACGAAAGAGACAAAGGAATAAGAAAAGACAAAAACTCGAAGAGATAGGAAATAAAAAAAGGAAAAAGAAATGAATGGAAACAGAGGCGAGGGAAAGCGCCTAAAGAGAAAAAGAGAGAAAAAATAAAAATTAAAGTTAAAATTAATTAAAACTAAAAGACAAACAAGAGAAATCTAACAAGAAAAAGAAAATGAGCAAGAAACTAGAAATAAAAAACCAAAAAGAAGAATAAAACAAAAAGAGATAAAAAGAAAAGACTAGAAGCGAATCTAAAACAGCAAAAGTGCAGAATTTCGGGAAAATCCAAAACACAAAAGAAACAAAATAAAATAAAACAAAACAAACAAAACAAAAAAAACAAAACAAAAGAAATAAAACGAAAGGAATAAAACGAAAGGAGTAAGGGGGAAAAATTAAAAAAAATAATGAAGGGAAATAAAATAAAGAAATAAAACAACAGAAACAAACCAGAAGAAGAAGAATAAAAAAGGAACAAACTAAAGACAGCAGAAAGGCCCGCCAGTCCTTGAAAAGCCCCACCTCTTTGGAGTTCTTTTTTTTGAGATTTTAAAAAGTGATGGCGTCGATTTAAAAACGAAAGAGGAGGCCACGCGAAAGCAGGTGTACATACACCCGAAGTTTCGACGCCTCCGCCGCGACTTCGCGGCTGGGCCTTCAAGACCTGTAGGAAAACGGAATTAAAACATTTAATTATTTATTATTTTAATTTATTTATTTATTTGTTTAGTTTTATTCTTTTTTCGGGATTTATTCACTAATTCAGCCAAAAGGATGAACTGGATGTGCTGGAGAAGCTGCAGCGAAACAATAAACATTTTAAAAATAAAAACAAAGTTTAAAAATGAATAGAAACAAGTATTTAACAATAAACAAAATGAGTTTTGAAAATAATAATACTTTCAAAGTAAATGGTAGAGCATTTCAAAGTAAATAACGACACTTCTAAGAATAAACACTGACACTTTTTGAAAATAAATAACACCTTTTAAAAAATAAATAACAGCAACCCCACCATTTAGAAAGAATAAAAAAGAGGAGTTTCACTTGGTTTCTGCAAAACAATTCCACTTTTAAAAAAATAAATAAAAACAATCCCAGTTGTGTTTTCTTCTAAATAACATTTCCATTTTTAAAATTAATACTAAACAATTCCACTTTCAAAAACAAAAAATCAACTTTCTTTTTGTTTCCACTTTTAAATAAAAGAATAAAAACAAAAAATTCTATTTTTCATTATTTCGAAATGCCAATTCCAACTTTTGAAAAGAATAAAAAACAAATCTTTTTTGTTTTTAAAAGTCAACAAACTCTCATTTAAAAATAAAAGTAACAGAAAAATAATTCTCTCTTTACAATTTCAAAAACAATTCCCCCTTGTAGAAATAACAAATAAAACGATTCTTCTTTTCGCAATTTAAAAAGAATAATTCTATTTAAAATAAAAAACAAGTAAAACAATTCTCTTTTTACACTTTCAGAAACAACAATACCCTTTCAAAATAACAAATAAAACAAACAATTCTTATTTGATTTCAAACCACAAACCTCTCATATAAAAACCCAAAAAGAAAACAACTGTGTCGCAAAACACAACAAATAAATAAATGAATACATAAATAAACAAACAAACAAACAAACAAACAAACACAAACACAGACAAACAAATAACAAACAAACAAACAAACAAACAAACAAACAACAAACAGACAAATAAACAAATAAACAGATAAACACATAATAAATAAACGAACAAATAGCAAACAAACAAACAAACAAACAAACAAACAAACAAACAACAAACAACAAACGAACAAACAAACAAACAAATAAACAAATAACAAGTAAATAACAAATAAATAACAAATAAATAACAAAAAACACACATCGAACAAATAACAAATAAACAAACAACAAATAGATAACAAACAAACAAAAAAGAGTGGCCCTGAGAAGCTAAACCCTAAACCCCAAAAGAGAGGCGGAGCCGCGGACTTCGGCGACGAGGGTTTTCAAGTTTTCGAGAATTTGAAAATCCGAAAATTCATTTAATGCAAAAGCAACTTTTAAAAGTCCTTTTCCCTCCGCGCGAAACTCCACACAACTCCCGCTCTTGCAGGCCCGCACAGCGGCCGCCAAACTCCCCACCACTGTGCCTGCAAACCACAAACCCTAAACCCTAAACCCTAAACCCTAAACCC